TGGGAGAGGAGGCTGAATACTGAGTAATTCCAAGGAGAGTCACAGTTGTTGCAGAATATTGGCAATGTTTTATCATTTGAAACAACTTGCAATTTGGCTTTTTATTTAGCATTACAATTTTTGACATTGTACTTGTGGCAGATTTTCACAAAAAGCTAACAGCTTAACTACATCAGTAATTTGTAAGTGCTTTATTGCCATTAAATGCTCTGTTTAGACCTAATTAATGCACAATTAAGTATATTATGGATGGGGGGAAATCCTGCCATTAAGAATGTTGTTGCATGTTTTAATTTTTTAATGCATGTTTGTTGCATGTTTCTCTCATTGATTTAGTTGCAGTTCAGCATTTGTAAATTAATTTTGTAATCTGTTTTTACATGAAAAGGGACGGTATAATTATTTTTATGAAATGATACTTCGTGGTAATATGCCCAAAACTATTGTTCAGTGTGTCTTTCTGTCTGAAATCAACAAAGATGGTCATTTTTTTCCACAGGACCACTATTTTTTGAAGCTGTCTTGTGATTGCGCTTTCAAGGCTTTGTAAGGGTCAACCTATGGGCTATGTTAAGCATGAGCAATTTTTTTAAAAGTCTGGTATTTCTTTATCCCAGAAAAAGGTGCTGAAGGGCCCCAAAGGAAACTGGAAAAAACCATCTTTCAGCACGACTGCCCCTGCTTTTTCAATCTCTGTAAGCTCAGCCTCCTAGAATTGCTGGGAGTGGGGACAATGTCCCATCAGCAGGACAAATGGAGTTGCCTTGCTCCCATTGTCATTGTCCTTAGTTCAGCCTATTTGAATGGCTGGTGGTGCTGAGAGTGGAGGGGGGAACTGGAAAGAGAACATGTAGTAAGGGTTCAATATTATACACAGTTGACTAGGACTAAGGCTCATTGGATGCAGAAGAGCTTACTTCTTAGTAAACATATTGCTCTGTGAATGCAGTATTGATGTGAGAACTTTCTTTGAAGGATCCTCTTAAATGTTTCAAATATCTATTGAGTGAGGAAGGACATTTTTGTGAACCCAAACTATTTTGACATTTCTCTTTTCCTTTGGCTTTTCATTTCTGTTTCTAATGCTAGCACATTTAATTACTTGTGATCTCTTTCCTGAAAGTTTGAGATGTCTCATGTTTTACATCTTTATTCTTAGATAGGAATACCTTCATATACATATGAAATAGCTTCATTAAGTGGATCTGTGTCAAGTATATCCTGATGCTTCTTTTACATCAGATCCATTAAAACCATTTTGATGCCACCAATACCTGGGATACAATATCCAAAATGACAGAATGATCTCAGTTCGAATCCAAGGCAAACCATTCAACATCACAATAGTCCAAGTCTATGCCCCAGCCACTGGTGCTGAAGAGGCTGAGACCAGTTCTGTGGAGGTGACCAACAACACCTTCTAGAAACAACAGCAAAAAATGATGTCATTATCATGGGGGATTGGAATGTTAAAGCAGGAAGCCAAAAGATAACTGGAATAACAGGCAAGTTTGGCCTTTGAGTACAAAATGAAGCAGGGCACAGGCTGGTAGAATTTTGTCAAGAGAATATGATGGTCATAGCAAACTCTCTTTTCCAACAACCCAAGAGACGACTCTACACATGGACATCACCAGACAGTCAACACAAAAATCAGATTGAATATGTGCTCTGCAGCCAAAGATGGAAAAGCTCTATACAGTCAGTAAAAACTAGACCAAGAGCCGACTGTGGCTCAGATCATGAGCTTCTCATTGCAAAATTTAGACTTAAATTGAACAAAGTAGGGAAAAGCACTAGGCCACTCAGGTATGACCTAAACCATATCCCTGATAAATATACAGTAGAGGTTACAAATAGATTTAAGGAATTAGATCTGATAGACAGAGTGCCTGAAGAACTATGGATGGAGGTTTGCAACATTGTACAAGAGGTAGCAACTAAAACCATCCCAATGAAAAAGAAATGCAAGAAAGCAAAATGGCTGTCTGAGGAAGCTTTGCAAATAGCTGAGGGAAGAAGGGATGCAAAAGGCAAGGGAGAAAGAGAAAGATACATCCAATTGATTGCAGAATTCAGAGAATAGCTAGAAGAGATAAGAATGCCTTCTTAAATGAACAGTGCAAAGAAATAGAAGAAAACAATAGAATAGGGAGGACCAGAGATCTCTTCAAGAAAATTGGATCTATGAAGGGAACGTTTCATGCAAAGATGGGCATGATAAAGGACCAAAATGGAAGGGTCCTAACAGAGGCAGAAGAGATGGCAAGATTACACAGAGGAACTATACAAGAAAGAGCTTAATGTCCCTGATAACCACAGTGGGGTGGTCACTGACCTCAAGCAAGACATCCTGGAATGTGAACTCAAATGGGCCTTAGGAAGTCTGAGCAACAACAAAGCTAGTGGAGGTGTCAGTATTCCAGCTGAGCAATTCAAAATCTTAAAAGATGATGCAGTAAAAGTGCTACACTCAGTATGCCAGCAAATTTGGAAAAATTAGCAGTGGCCACAGGATTGGAAAAGGTCAGTTTACATTCCGATCCCAAAGAAGGGCAATGCCAAAGATTGTTCAGACTACCACACCATTGCACTCATTTCACATGCTAGTAAAGTTATGCTCAAAATCCTACAAGCTAGGCTGCAGCAGTATGTGGACTGAGAACTACCAGAAGTACAGGCAGGATTTTGAAGAGGGAGAGGAACTAGAGATCAAATTGCCAACATACACTGGATCATGAAGAAAGCTCGGGAGTTCCAGAAAAACATCTACTTCTGCTTCATTGACTATGCTAAAGCCTTTGATTGTGTGGATCACAACAAATTGTGGAAAAGTCTTAAAGAGATGGAAGTACCAGACCATCTTATTTGTCTTTTGAGAAACCTATATGCGGGTCAAGAAGCAACACTGAGAACTGGACACGGAACCACTGATTGGTTCAAAATTGAGAAAGGAGTTCGGCAAGGCTGTACACTGTTGCCCTGCCTTTTTAACTTATATGCAGAGCACATCATGAGAAAGGCGGGCCTAGATGAATCACCAGTTGGAATTAAGATTGCTTGGAGAAATATCAACAACCTCATATATGCAGATGATACCACTCTCATGGCAGAAAGTGAAGAGGAACTAAAGAGTCTCTTGATGTGGGTGCAGTAGGAGAGTGCAAAAGTTGGCTTGAAACTCAACATTAAGAAAACTAAGATCATGGCATCCGGTCCTCTCATTTCCTGGCAAATAGATGGTGAAGAAATGGAGATAGTGACAGATTTTATTTTCCTGGGCTCCAAGATCACCGTAGATGGGGACTGCATCCAAGAAATTAAAAGACACTTGTTCCTGGGGAGGAAAGCTATGGCAAATCTAGAAAGCATACTAAAAAGCAGAGACATCACCCTGCCAACAGAAGTGCGTATAGGCAAGGCTATGGGTTTCCCAGTTGCAATGTATGGCCGTGAAAGCTGGACCATAAGGAAGGCTGAGCACCAAAGGATTGAGGCCTTTGAATTGTGGTGCTGGAGGAGACTCTTGCGAGTCCCCTGGACCACAAGGCGATCAAACGGGTCAGTCCTAGAGGAGATCAACCCTGACTGCTCTTTAGAAGGCCAGATAGTGAAGATGAAACTCAAATACTTTGGCCACCTAATGAGAGGGAAGGACTCCCTGGAGAAGAGCCTAATGCTGGGAACAATAGATGGCAAAAGAAGAAGGGGATGACAGGGAATGAGGTGGCTAGATGGAGTCACTGAAGCAGTCGGTGTGAGCTTAAGTGGACTCTGGGGGATGGTGGAGGACAAGAAGGCCTGGAGGAATGTTCTCCATGGGGTCGTGATGGGTCGGACATGACTTCACAACTAACAACAACAACAAAAATACCTTTTAATTGAATTATAGCTTCAAATGTTGGGAATAAAATGGGTGGTTATTCTTGATGTACGTTCCAAGAAGATAAGCAGATTCAGAATCATCAGATCAGGAGAGTCCTTGAGAACCAGAATTCTCTGATTTTGAAATTTAAGAAGAGGAAGGGCTTATCTCAAGGGCACCCTCTCCAGGTGTAACAAGTGTAGGGAGGGGCATGGGAGAATAACTCCTGCAGCCAGCTGAGCCTGGTATATCTCTTGATCCCATGAAATGATTCTGGAAGAGATGGGCTTACCAGTAAGAAGGATGATGGATAGACATGAGGTTGCCTGTCTCCAAAAGGGCCATTCCAGAGGGATTGGGCTCAGGGTACTCAAAAAGAGAATTCTCAGAAGTAGTTGCTAGAGTGGCTTCAACAAATTACTCTGTGCGTTCTCAAAGACTCATTCTTTGTTGATTGTGCTTATTGAAAATGCATTGGAAATAAACAGCTTTTACCAAAGAATGGTCTGTTGGTTTGGAGGTCTGAAGGGGGAAACCTACCTTGTGACATTAAATTCAGTTGTATGTCATGTATTTTTGTCTAGATATACAGCATTATTAGTTTGATAAAGCTTATTTATCTTAAACTATTTTTGCTACCCATCAAATAATTGAAACCTACTATGTATGGACACACACACACACGCACATAATAGACCATGCTCTGTAAAATGTTTGGATCATAGAAAGAAATGGAAAAAGAAGTATACATGTGTGACCTTTCTGTAATTTTGTCATTTGCAAAATTGCAAGATAAAGAAGACTCCAGTATGTGTATATAAGAACCAACAGTTATTTATTTACTTTTATAGTAAATTACAAATGCAATCATAATTATTTAGATGAAATGCTTATTCTAAAACTTAAAAATGTAGACAGCAATTCAAAGAGGTACATTCAAAGGACAGCTTACACAGGATAGGATTTTAAAACAATTTTTTCTTTGACCTCTTGCCCAACATGTCATTGCTAATTACTGTAACTGTATTTATTTTTAAAAGATCTGTTTCCTGTGATGTAAAGAATCATTCATGTATTTTAAATGCCAGAGTTGACTTCATATAATGTAATGAACAATACTACTTTCTTTTCACAGGTAACTTTCAAAGCATCAAGATATTCAGTATCTCCAGATTTAAAATTTGTTCTCCTTGCATATGACATCAAACAGGTAAGCTAGTACATGCCACAGGAAGTCCTGAAATTCTGGTTAGAGGGCTATATATTATAAATTGTGATAAAAAGGTATCTTCCTTGCTTTACTATCAGTGAGATCTTGTGCTAATAAGATCAGATGAAAGTATTGACTGAATAACTATTTGGATTAATTTTGGTTTCACTTTGGAATAATAACATTTATCTAGGTTTCTCCTTGCTATTACTTATTGCTTTGGATAACCGATGTGTCTAGAGAAGTATAATTCTGGGTGAAATTAGATATGATACCACAGATGCATATTCAAAATATTCTATTTAAAATTATTATATGGAAGTCATTAGTGGCTGGAGCAGAAGGAGAATTGTACCAAGACCACCCCACTGCAAAGGAGGTTTCACCCATTCCCCTGATGTCATTTTTCTAATTAATTCATTTTGCTATGTGTATACACACACACACACACACTTATCTGGAAGTAAGTCGCACTGACTTTAAAGAGAATTAATTTCCATGGCTATGTATAGGGTTATCTTAATTTAGATGAATTATTCTCGTGCATTTAGAATGCAGGTGGAGACAGTATTTTTGGTAATATTCTGCCATAATGAAAACAGTGCAAAAGTGGAACTTACCAACACACTCACTCACATGGCGCATGATTCATGATCCTTCACAAATAACATGCAATTAAGAATGTAGACCATGTGGTATGGTTCCTATTGCCTCTGATAGCATATTTGGGACCCCCAACAAAATCAAGTTTAGAGAAACACTTGGTCTTCAATTTGCAACAATTGCATTGTTAGGCATAACGATTCTTTAGTAAAGGTAAACTTGTTACAAAATAAATTTACAACATAATCCTACATATGTCTACTAATGCCCATTAGTAACACTAATCATTCCCAGTATGTACAGGATTACAGCCTTATTTTTGTATGTATAGTGTTGTTTCACACTGTTGCATCAAATGAGCTAACATAGTTTGAACAAATTAAATAAAAACAGAAATACACATTTCATCCAACATTGGCATGAAATTGTAATTAAAGGCACATTTATGTTTATGTCTGGATTAAAAATAAACACAGAGTTAAATTAAATAGCTGAATATGTATTTTAATGTCAGCGTTTTCTTTTATGTAGTTTATGCTTGGAATGGCAAACTTTAATTAAATTTGCAGTACTTTCAGGACAATTAAAAATATCCTTTATGCATAACAGGATGTATATTTGCATGAAAATTAACTAGCTTTGAATACAATAGTAATAATTGAACAAACTGTTTAAACCATGGAGGATAGATTAAGAAAAACTTAGATCTGTGCTTTTGCAGCTGTTACAGTCTTGTTCTGTAAACTTAAGCGCTGAAAGAAATAAGTGTTGATTCTTGCTGAAACAAGTTCAGAAAAGATTTTGTATCCCTTTATGAAGTTGTTCCTCAATACAGATGTTTGTCTGTCTATTCCAAGCGTAGCCTTTAGGAGTAAACACAGCTATCCCAAGCGGTATCATAATAACTATCCCTGGAACAATTGTAGCATAGAAGTTTCAGCTGACTGGAGCCCAATTCATTGATTGCAAAGGACTCCTTGTACGCATCTACGAAAGAGCATTTTAAGCATGATGGCCTTTGCAGGAAGCCAAAAGGTAGAGAGGCTGTTGGACTTGGAATACAAGCCAGCCTGAGTTCAGCCCCACCTCTGACATGCAATATTAATAATAGGTTACATTGTGGGGCCTCTCTCAGCATAGCCTTCCAGTGTGCAATAAGAACAGCCAGTGAACTGCAAGGATGTCGTGTACCCTTCCTCAGCCCAACCTACACTGTGGAGATCAAGCAACATGGATAACGGTACGGGGTTATTATAGTTCCTCTACTTTTGCCCACCCTCCCAGCACAGAAGAGATTTTATACCAGCGGACAGCACTGACCTGCAGTATTCTGTGTGAACCACACCTGCAGGACTATCATAACCTATTCTCTCACAACAGCCACTTCTCCTCACCCTGCTCTATGGAGAACAGACTGCATGCGTTTCATTATTTGCATTAGCAAGATTGCAAAACACGTTTCATAACAAATAGCAACTGATCCAAAGGGAAATGACTTTTCTTTCTGCTTTTTCTTGGAATAGATAATCAGTGAGAGTGTGGGATCCAGCTACATTTAAAATATTGAGGTTTTTAGAATTTGATTTTAGTGAAAACATGATTTTAAAAGCTGCTCAGTATGGACTGGAAAAGTAAGTTCTAGACACTGAGAGTTTTTTTCTGCCCCTCACAACTTTTCTTAGCATTTGATTTTTCTTCTTCATTTTCCTAGCCATTCATACCAGGTTGGTTTATTTGCTTGTTTCCTGGAAATTTTCTTTTTCTAGAGGGCAAAGGCATTTGTTTGTACTCTGGGGTTGCACCAAGCCTACAAATAGCAAGCATGAATACAGGAAGACTCAAATAAGCATTAGAGAATATTGTGACATTAGTTATAGATATGTTTGTTGCTTTTAGGAATCAAAAGCCACTTATCATTCATGGAAAATGCATTCTGCAAAGTATATATTTTATTGACAAAACAAATATTTATTTTCAATCATTACTAAGCTGCAAAACCATGTCTGTAACATTCATTTGAAGAATAGTGGGGAAAAGTTCTAAAGTCCAATAATGCATTTTTAATTACTCAAGCTCAATAATTTTAAAGATGAACTTAGTTAAATATAGGAATGATTTGTCTATAGGAACTGTTTAGTGTTCTACATCCATATATGTCCATTGATTCTACCCTCTTGCTTCCCCGCCGCCCCCCAAGCACAAAAATTTTTAATAGGGAATTGTACTTCTGCTGAAGTAGCAGGTTCATAGTCCAGCGTCCTCCTCTGTGCCAGCACTGACACCTGAGGCCAAGGAGGCTTCAGTGGCATGGAGTTCCTTCTAGCAGCTTCAGTTGGTGGCTCAGTTACACCCTCACCTAGATGGGGATTAGATTACTGTATGGGGCTGCACCTGAAGACTGATCAGAAGTTTCAGCTTATGTGAAATGGAGCAGCCATATCAATAACTAGGGGTGCATATCACAGCAATTCTGACTTGCTTGCCATGGTTGCCTGCAGGCTTATGAATCAGATTCCAAGTGCTGATTTTAACCAATAAAGTGTGACACAACTAGAGGCTGCAGTTTCTGTCAGAGGGACCCTCCTAACATAAATCTACCTGGACACTATGCCTGGTATCTTGGTTTTAAAACTTTGTATTGGAATTTTATGTTGTTTTTATTTCTATTTCATACAATATTTTATTGTATTGAATGCATTTTTTTTAACTAATCAAAGAGCTTCAACCACTGAGCAGCATCAAAATGAATGAATGAATGTTTTTTAATATATATATATATATATATATATATATATAAAATATAAAAAAGCATTCCTAAATGTATTTTGCCTCCAAATATGCATTGCAAAAGATATTTGTTCCCAGAACACAGGTTTTGTTATTTGAATGAAGAATTGCATCCCAAAATTCACAATGGTAGAAAGATATTTGTGTTCTGATCTGCAGATTAATCTGTAAAGAGTGTCTGCAGTCTGTTCACTTGAAAATGTGGACTTGACAAAATGTTGAGTAACCAGAGTTTTGACTGGCTGTTTATTTGGCTGTTTATGTGAACATTATGTTAAATGCATCTTCTGTTGCTAATGTATTTTGTTGCACTGTATGAATCTTTATGGATATCTCACCACTTTAAATATTTTGTGTGGGTATATACCTGAAAGGCGAAATTAAAAGAAAAAACACAGCAAGAACAACAAAGGGACAAATCTGGGACAGCAATTTCCTTTTCTTTTGCAGCACTGAATATATGCCTAGTTGATTCTCTTTAGTTAAGACGTGTTTTACAGCATGAATGAGCTATCTCTTGTTCATGTTCCACTGAAGGAGAATTGAAGACTGGTATATTTTGAAAGTATTGATTGGTTATTATTTAGTCACCGTGTTTGAGTCATCAAAGTATGAGTTCCATATTTAAACTGTGAATAAATTACCAGTTTGTCCTACTTTTGCTTCCTGCTTTTTTACAGGGGTGGATTGGTAAATTTACAAATGTTTACAGCTTCTGTAGTAATCTCTCTTGGGGAAGCAATGTCGAATTTGGCATAGGGCACTCCATCTCCATGGATACCAGTATATCAGTGATTCCCTGAAGTTGTGGCCCATGTTTCTTCCAGTTGTGCATGAGGTCCTGTCAGTGCAAGCTTTCTATCAATGACAACATAATTTTAAAAAAAAGTATTATTAGTGTAATTAGGGCTGTGAACCAATAAAAAATAAAATTAACTGATTGGTCATCTGCCAATGAAATACATATGTATTTTTCCAAAATGTCCTTTGAAATGCCAGAGTGGCAGGTGACATGTAACATATTAATAAACTCAGGCTGCACCTTATTATTAGAAGAACAGAAAATTTTGCATGTTCCAAATACTGAATACAACAGAATCAAAACAGGCTTTAAAACATGTACTCTGTAACTCTCAGGATCATTTCCCCCTCTCTTAAAAAAGGGCAGTTCATCCAACCTAAATAATGCATTAGAAAAGTATGTAAATACAGTGAATGGTCAGAAGGTGGGAAGGAATATGCATATTATTTTACATTCTATGCAAGGAAATGTGTGTGGATGGATGGATTTCACAGTTTAATGTACATTCACGTGCACTTCGGAATGTACTTCTTTATGCCTGCGGTTCCCAAATCAGCAAGTGAAATGCACATCGGGGTACGCTTATGTTCTTGGATTTCCTTAACAACCTCTTTCAGGTACCTCTTACAGATAACCGTGTGAATGTGTCTGATGTGGCAATAGGATAGAGGTGTGCAAATCAGAAATACGTGGCTTTGTTGAAGTTATCTGAGTTCAGCTTTGACGTTCATTCCAACTCAAGTTCATATCAGATTGCAAGTGTTTTTTAATGTTTCTTTTACATGACAATCTTTTTACATGAAAATTA